TTTAAGTATAATATTGTTCACTCATTGCTAAAGAAACATAATCTGGATCCGCTGTCCTTAAGTAATTATAGACCAATCTCCAAACGGTCTTATTTTCTAGGGTTCTGGAGAAAGTAATCTCAACTCAAATGATATCTTTTATGAATAATAGTGTTTTTAACTGTTTCCAGTCTGGTTTTAGAGCACTGAACAGTACCAAGACAGCTCTTACTAATGAGCTACTGCTAACTGCAGACTGAGGTGACAGCTCGATTTGCTTGAAGTGCTGCCTTTGATACAGATCATGGTATCCTCTAAGGCTTGTGCGGACTACACGACTTTCAGTGTTGGCCGATGACCGTGCAGTTCACACTACACAACTTGCCAACTTGAGTCTTGAAGTCACTGTGGCGTTCACAGTACCGATGGGTGACGGGGGTCACACACTACACGAGTTGACAATGAGTCTGTCACCCGATGCTGTTCTCCAAACCATGTTTTGTCAATAAAACACAGGTGAAATGTGAAACGGGAAATGGGTAAGAATCAAGGGCTCAGCTCTTAGCTTTTTACGCTCATACCTCTCCAACAGAACTGTTTCTGTATCTTCTCTACTGCTCAATTGAGGTGTGGTGTCACTCAAGGCTCCGTTCTTGGACCCCTTCTGTTTTCAATATACATGCTGCCTCTTGGCTAGGTTATTAAAAAACATGATGTGCATTACCGTTTTTATGCTGACGACAGTTACCATTAAAACCCATAGTTCCTAGCAACCTATTACATTCCACAACATGCCTCACTGATATTAAATCCTGGATGTCTCAAAATGTCCCTAAATTTAACAATGTAGTCTGAGGTGATTCTGTTAGATCCCCCAAATTCCATCAGCTCTTTTGGTGCTAATCCTAGTGGTTTGTCAGATAATATTAAGCACGCTGTTAGGAATCTTGGGGTTAAATTTGATGCTAACCAAGTGTTTGGCAAAGCCAACATGTTGTTCAGTCGTGTTTCTTCCAGCTCAGGATAATCTTTAAAATTAGGGAATTTTTATCAATTGCTGATTTACAAGTTGCTTGCTTTTATTTAATCACAGCTTGATTACTGCAGCACAGTTCATTCAGGTATTAGCCATGGCTCCCTCCATTGTCCCCAGCTGGTACAAAACAACTGCCGCTCGACTCGTTACACAGAGGCACGATCACATCACCCCTGTGGCTTGACTCCCTACACTGGCTCCCGGTTATGATTTTGAATTGATTATCACTTTTAAGGTCTTAAATGGCCTTGCTCCTAAATACATTTCTGATTTATTGACCGTATATGTGCCCTCTTGACCGCTGAGATCCTCTGATGGAGACCTGCTGGTTACTCCAAGGTCCCAGTTTGTGAAAAAATGTGATCTGGTTTCTGTTTTTAGAGCACCCACACTATGGAACTCTCTGCCTTCTGACCTCAGACAAACTAAGTCTCTCTAAGTTTCTCTTAGTGAAATGTGAATGTTTGATATATGTTTTATTATTTTTATTTCTATTTATTTGATCTTATTCACTTTATTGTATTTACGTCCTCTTTGCTCATGTCCTTTGGCTTATTTATCTGCTTTGTCTGGTTGTATTTCTTTTTGTAAAGCACTTTGTGACATTGTTAAGAAAAGTGCTATATAAATAATATTACATGCTAATGCTGAACCAATTCAAGTATATCTCCACATCTAAATCAATACATTCATGTCCTTCCCTTTAGCTACTCAAACTCAAACACAAACACAAACACACACACACACACACACCCACACCCACAGTTAAATACAGGGTGATTATGCAATTTATTGGGTTGTTGTTCAGCGAAGTAAACTGTTTCTTTGCAGCTATTTTGGTAACTTACATGATTTTTGTGGCCTTCTTGATTCCATTAGCACATAAAAGGAAAATACCCCTACCACCCAGACACACCAGCCCAGACACATAAAACTCTCTGTAAGCACAAAGACAAAGACATGCTTATGCACTCTTTTGATCTGAAAAGCAATGCCATGGCTCTGTTTTAAAAATCTCAATCAATCGTGAAAGAGGCCGCATGTGCCCAAAGAGGTATTTGGAGATCCCTTATTATCACAAATTTATAAAATCAATTTGTAAACCACCCAATATCTCACTCATCATCATTGTTAAACGTCAGAAAAGATATCAGTGATTTATATAGCGCATACTGAAACAGGCACCAATGTAGACAAAAACTAGGACACAAAAGTGATGATTTCAAACATGCACACATTACAAGATTTGAAAATAATAGCACATCACACACTACAGGATATTATTAAGATGATTGTGCCAGAGGGAGCAATGCACTGTGATCTCACAAGGAAGCAGATGTGCAAAATGGAGACTGTCCTGATGTAAAAACTCGCTGTAGTAAAGCTTTGAAGTAAGAAAAAAGAACAAAAGCAGAAGGCCAGTCTGGATTAGTGTTACTTTCGTCAGACGAAACTAAACAAAATATATTCGTCCTTAACCTTTTTTCCCTGACTAAAACGAGACGACGAGACGTGACAATGTCCTTAAACGCTGACTATATTAACTGACTTTATTGCCATTAATCTGTTTTTCTCCATCATCATGGATCATGCAGAGCGTCACACTTCATCCAGTCAGAGGGAACGATCACCGACCGTTCGCAGTGGGCCAGACGCTCCGCGATCTCCTGTGCCTGGTCCGCCCCACTCCCTTTCCGGCACGGGTTGTGTCGCTAGTACGACCGACAAGCTGTGAACGGTTGATGATCGTTCCCTCTGGCTGGATGAATATTAAGCATAATCCATGTAGGCCTACTACTGCAGCTGGGGGCTCCCCGCAGCGCCACGCAACTTTCTAAATTCTTCCCTCTCACGGAGAAAAGAAAGGTCAGTTAGAAGGGTGTGTGAAGTGTAATTGTAGCAAAATGGTTACATATGACAACAAAATATCTTATTATTATTATAATAAGACAAACATGCCTGATACTTCTGTCAGCCCCAGGCCTACATGCTTGCAGCTATTAATGAATCAGCAGTAAGATTCACAGTTGGTCCCCCTCCTCCCTGTCACGGGGAAAAAAAAACTGAGCCCCCCGAAAGCTGTGTATAGTTCGCACACTTATGTGGTCATAAGATTTTTGGAAAAAACACTACAAACTTGAAGTGGCATATGAAGGCTAACCACCTGAGAACTGATTATGTTGTACGTTAATGTCTCATTTGCAATAAAAATGAGAACAAAGCTAACATTTGAATCATATCTCTACTGTGGTTAGAGCAGATAGACCAAAATGCTAATCAAAATTATACTACTAAGTTAGAAAAAACGATGATTAATGACTAAAACTAGACTAAAATACTTTTGATTTTCTTTTGACTAAAATCAGACTAAAATACCCAGACTTTTAGTCAACTAAAACTTGACTAAAAAAATAGTATACAGTGGACTAAATATGACAAAAACTAACAAGGACACTTGACACAGGACTAAGACTAAGACTAAATTTTAAAATGGCTGACAAAATTATCACTAGTCTGGATGAGAAAATGTTTGGGGAGACGTGGTCAACGTGCGTTGTCAATTCTTCAGGTGAGATTTTAACTGTTTGCCAGTTTTAATATTTATCAACTGTTGTATGCTGGCTAATGTTAGCCTAAAGGACTAGCTTATTTACCACTGCTTGGCAACACGGTGAACTGCTCTGGGACTAACATTAGACATGTCTCTCTCATTGGCTATTGTGGTTGTGCTTGAAAAGTACCGACGTAATCATCCAGATTTTCTGTCCAGTTGAGGAGGTTTAAGACTGGATCTGCAAACCCCTCACATTACCAAATAATCTGTCCCGAACATCAGTACCAACCAAGGTCCCAGACAAGATTTCTCCTACGAAATTGTCCCAAAACCCCTGTAGTCTCTGCATGGCTTTAGGTTTATAAATGTGATACGAACCCATCCAGCAACCTAACCTCCACACTCTTTTCTCTAGCAATACAACATGAACGTCACACTGCTTTCTGTGTTGGCAATGAACATTGGCACTAGATGCAAATTGTGTCCTGCAGTATCGTCCAATTTCAACGGAATTCCTTGGGACACTGGGCTGGTGTTTACAACATACTGGATAAACAGTTGAAGAACAACAGTGCCAAATACACAAAAATCCCAAATGGATAAAGAACGTGACTAAAGGAGTTGTTGTAAATCTACAGATAAAGGAAAGTTTGCTATTAAATTTATGTTTGGGGAATGGTGTTTGCTTGGTTTTTATGTGTACCTCTCAGTAACATTTGGCCCCAGGTACAAGCCCTACTCATCCATTCACAGTCATGCTTCTGTATACAACTAAATGCAGTATTTTTATATTCCTATATAATTCAATATTTGTAAAAATGAATGAAAGTAAATGAAATACAACACAGTATTTACTGAAGTATGTTATTTTCAGAAAGAAAATTCAGCATTTTGATTAAATATGTCTTGTACGAGAAATAAAATAAAATATGTCAATTTGTACGAGAACCTCAACTGAAAATAAATAAAATAAATGAAGAGAGAGCGAAAGCATGACCAAAAAAACACCAAATCTTGCCCCACCACCCCCTCTCACCTCCCATCCATCACAGACCCACTCCGGGACCCCTTGCAGTTTGCCTACAGAGCCAACAGATCTGTAGACAACGCAGTTAACATTGCCCTTCACTTCATCCTCCAGCACCTGGACTGCCCTGGGACCTACGCCAGGACCTCGTTTGTGGATTTCAGCTCTACTTTCAACACCATCATTGCGGCTCTGCTGCAGGACAAGTTCTCCCAGCTGAACATGCCTGACTCCGCCTGCAGGTGGATAACAGACTTCCTGATGGACAGGAAGCAGCACATGAAGATGGGAAAACATCTCTCTGACTCCAGGACCATCAGCACCGGTTCACCTCAAGGCTGGGTTCTTCCCCTCTGCTCTTCTCCCTGTACACCAACAGCTGCACCTCCAGTCACCAGTCCGTCAAGCTCCTGAAGTTTGCAGATGACACCACCTTCATTGGGCTCATCTCAGGTGGGGATGAGTCCGCCTACAGGTGGGAGATCTACCATCTGGTGACCTGGTGCTGCCAGAAAAGTCTGGAGCTCTACGCATTGACAGTGGAGATGGTCGTGGACTTTAGAAAGATCAAGGGCCGGCTGCAGCGTATCAGCGTATGAATCTTCCATCTCTTCAGGACATGTACACCTCCAGGACTCTGAGGAGTGCAAGAAAGATTGCAGCTGACCCCTCCCATCCCAGTCACAAACTATTTCAGTTATTCCCCTCTGGCAGCAGGCTGCGGTCCATCAGGACCAAAACCTCTCCCCACAAAAACAGCTTCTACCGTTCTGCTGCTAGCCTAATTAACAAGGCCCGATCCCTCACTGACACTTTCCCCTTCCCTCTCAAATACTGTATATCTTTGCACATGTAAATATTATCTAATTTCACATCATTGTACATACCCGGTATATTGCACATATTTGTTGTGTAAGTAGTAAGTACATATTTGTAAGTGTTAATCGTTATATTTTGTCACTCAATATTCATATATTTCTACATTTATTTATGCCAACTGTATGTTTGTCTTTGTTTGTCTACATGTAGCACCTTATCTCCAAATCAAATTCCTCATACGTGTAAAATCTACATGGCAATAAAAGCTTTTCTGATTCTGATTCTCACACACACACGGACCCTCATCATTTCTCTTGCGACTGTAAAATCTTCCTGTCAGTATCACTGTCATAATTGGTGATACAGTCCCCCTTGGAACTTTCTTAAATCAAGACCTCTGTCATTGTTACGAATAAACATTGGTGGTGACTCGCTTTGCTCTTCAAAAAAGATGAAACAGCTGCTCTTACTCACACCGGTTCTCCCTGGGTGACACTGACGCACATACTGCACTGTGCAATAACTATTGAAATGACATTTTACTCATTCAGCAGCTGAAATCTAGAGGCATACAGCCCCCCAAAAAAAAAACAATCAGTGAAGACAAACAATGTAATCCAGGCTTTATGCACCAGTGTGTCGTGTGAGCAGAGCATGTGTGGGTGTTTGCATTTGTGTCAGGTGTGTGTGCATTCGTGAGCAGAGAAACATGGGAAAAGAGGGCATAAAAAGAAAGCAATGTGGAAGGGGAGAGAGATGGGGTGTTGTTTGTGAGATACTGTTTGTTTTCAAGGCCTCCTCCAGCTCTATCTTTGTCTCAACTTTACCTCTCAAAGGAAGGTGTGGTAGAAAGGCACCCAAAACAGAGGCAGAAGAGAGGATGATAACTGAGGTCACACTCCACGTAATGTTGTGGGACAAATACGTCCCACTGAAAGACAACCTTAATAACTCCACTCATGTTTTATTTTCCCTTTCAGCCTCCAGGAAGCTGCGGGGAATTAATCAGGATAGTGCTGAGCTACCTGCAACCACGCTGGCCAGCTGCTGTGTCCGGGTGAGGGGGTTGACACGGCGTGCCTCCACAATGGCTGAAGCTATTTTCCTGGAGTGTCTTTCTTCCCCATATGCAGTGAGGATGGATGCAAGAGCCTGTTGATCTAAGGTATTCACAACGTCAGCGGCGCAGGGCATGTCGGGGTACCTACGCACAAAGACAAGCCCAATTAAGCTGCTTGACGTCACGTCCTTGCTGACAGTGGCGAATTCTGACAACTCTGAGATACAGCTGAAAGCCTTTCATGGCTGACAGTGATGAATAGAATGAAGGTGAGGGAATGAAGTAAGAAATGCAGCTTGTGCAATTGCTTATAATGAGGTTATCTTAGCTTTTTGCTTTGCACATTATGCTGACATTGTAAAGTGATACATAACTACTTCTGAAAACATTCAAGAAACATTCAATTGCAATACATACAGTATGTAAGGTACAAACATACATAAATATAATGTATGTTGTATACGATATATATATATATATATATATATATATATATATATATACACACATATATATGGTACATATACATACATATATAGTGTATATATATATATATATATATATATATATATATATATATATATATATATATATATATATATACATATACACACACATATATGGTACATATACATACATATATAGTGTATATACATGGTATATATGCACACACAAATTAAAATTAGCAACAGGATTTTGTTTTCTTTTTATAGTTACAAAAAATTTACTTTACTTATTTTTGTACACTTACTGCCAATATAAGTTATAGACATATATTTGCTTAAAATGTATTTTAACATTTAGTTTTCACACATTATGATATGATAAACTTTTTATTTTTTTACTGTAAATCCATGATTAGGAAATTATAACACTGTTTTTCATGTTCATGGTTTTGATTTGTGTCAAACTCTCATTTTGTATACCCAATCATGCATCCGAAATCTGAAAGAGCTTCTGTAGCAATATAATGTCACTCTTCCTTTCCCTTTGCTACTAGGAAAGGACAGTTTTATTGATGCGACCACAAGAGGTCGCTTGTCAGGAAAGCACTTTGTTTTAATTGACAACGATATTGATTGTTTTAAATTTTTTAGATTAGTTTCAGAAATAGGAATTTTCACGTTTCACTATACAATTTCAATGATCAACATGCTCACTTATGTTATTGGTAGCCCAATTTGGCCATGCCCCTTCTTTACATTACTGCTTGAATGAGTACTGAAGCAATTTCAAGTCTCTCATCATCTGGCACCTCCTAACATTTGCTGGGGAAAAAAAGTCTTGTGTTTTTTGTGTTCAGTTATGTTAATGCAGCATTACTAATCAAACTGAGATCTATCAGCCTTTCAGACATTCTGTATGTTGCAGATCTCTTACCTCTCTCCATCCATTCTCATATCCAAGGGCCCATCCTTGCTGATGGAGAAGCCTCGCTCTGCCTCATCCATCTGCATGGAGGAGCAGCCAGCATCCAACAGGACAGCATCAACGCTGCCTGGCTTGATGTTCATGTTAGACAGGAGGGTTTCAAGCTCGCTGAATCGGCCAAGCAATGGTTTCACACGACCACTGAAGCAAGCATTAGGAAAAGAGCAATTAGACATTTGCATATTAAAACCTCAAACTCCATTTGGGAACTGCGTCTTGTCATCAGAAAAAAAGTATCAGGGGATTGTTATACCACATACCTTTTCTCTTGTAACACAGAAGTCACTTACCGGCATGCATTGCTCTGCTGCTATTAGCTAGTTAGCTCACTTAGCAGGCCCTATTGGCTGACTCTACGTGGACTGGGAGCTCAGGGTACCAGGGGAGTGTTAGTGTTGGTTATACCACCAGCACTGGAGCTTTTGACCAAAGGGAGGATGAGGTTTTCAGGTTCGGGGTGAGGTGACCCTTGTATGATGTTTTACTGTGTTGAAATAAATGAACACAATGTTCAGTTTCCTTGCTGCTTGTCTGACAGATTCATAATCATTACAGCTTGTCGTTAACAGGTGGCTCGCTTTGCGCCCCTGTAAAATTTATATTTTTATCATTTATATCATTACAGTTTGGAACTTCTCTGTAATGTAGCACAGTGTTAACAATGTTACTTATATATTATTTCGCAGCACTGGAACTCAAACTATTTTCTGATGCCCTCAAAAAAATATATAAATATTTCAATTAATATCATAAACATGCAACGACTAGTCGACTACAAAACTCTAGTAAAACTAATAGTTACATGATATACTTATACTTATAATAACGCTTTAAAATCATAAGACAATCTATTCGTCTAACCCAAGTGTTGATGTAAATAACTGTGCACTTATTCACATCAACACTTGGGTCAGGCAACATCCGATCTAAAGGGGGGACTAATTTTGAACTTTACCGTCCTCATTGCCTTTCCATCTCTTGCCACTGATTGTCTAACCGTGCTCCTCGGGAGGGATATAGCGCTTCTGGTATCTAGATTTGTTTTCCTAACTTCTGTCTTTGTGTTCAACAATCTATTTGTAAAGAAAAAAAAGAACACTTCAATTAATCTTATTTGGAAAAACTAGTGCCATCATTTAAAAAAAAAGCTTTAGCAGGTCCAAGAGGTGAAGGTGGCTTAGAGATATTATATACTTTATGGATGTGAATTATACCTTTAATTTAAAACTGGATAAATGTAGGAGTACAAGTTCAAGTTCAAGACCAAGACCTTTATTTGTCCCCGAGGGGCAATTAGTTTTGCTGCAGTAGCAAAGAAGTTGACACACAGTACATGAGTACAAAGACGACAATACTAATATTTTTTTTTTAAATGGGAGGGCTACATTTCTTCTACTTACTAACAATGAAATGGATGTCTGATTTGTTTTGTCATGTCACCTATGTTCCATGTGACATGTTCTAAATAAAGTTTGAGGGTTAAAAAAAACAAACAAACAAAACAATATGCCGCTTCTCATAGAAAATGAATAGGAGTCTTCACTTCACCCAACCTATGGATTTCTACTCTTAGTTACACACATTCACACCTGGAACCTGCCCAGTACAACCACAGTCGGATTTGCTGGCCCACTGAGGAGCTCCACTGGAGCAGTTTGAGGGTTATGAGCTGTTCTCAAGGGCACCTTAGTCTGTGCAATGACTAAGGTAATGAGGCAGTGGCAAGAATTGGGAATGCTAAGGAAAGTCCCCTCTTAAATTTATGGGAAATATTGACTGTTTTCAATATTTTACGTTTACAGCGTCATACAATTTAGACGAACACCCACACTCAGCATCAGGAAAGTCAATGTTATTTTAGGGAGATATTTTGTGGGGAGACCATGTGAGATCTCCAATTCAGTAGCTTTCCAGTCAACCTTTTATAACCAAATCAGGTATTTTCTTGGGAGCCGGATGTCTAAGCTAGCCTACTGAGAGGCTTATCACTAACAGAGCAAGACCCTGTATTCTCAGTCACTTCCTCATGCACGAGTGGTGACATCCTCCAGCCACATTTACAGTATGCATTTTTCATGTGACCTTTTATCATTGTGTGAACAAAGATGATGGCAGAAGAGAGCAACAGGAGTTAGCATCTATACATTGGGAGCCAAAGGTCTCATGCAGTCTTTTCCAGACATGAAAACATGTTTCTAAATGTCTAAATTACAATCATCTCATTTTATCACAGATGTACGAAAGCTAAGCAGCTCAAATTGACTACGCCGTCCTTATATAGAACTCAATGTGTAATCAGTCTGAGGGTAACAAGCATTTTTTTAATGTATCAATATGTGACCTACCAACATGGGATCTCATAATGACCTCTGGTGAGTCATATGTGAGTGCTAAAATGACACTGGGAAAAGAAAAAACATTTTCTGATGCTTTTAGTATCCTGCGTCATTCACTCATTTAATGGCATTCATTTTCAGTTTGCCATTCATTAAAGATGATACATTTGTAAGCTTCGCAAAACTAAATATGTTTCTGTTTACATTCTGCAGACTGTATTCATGATGGAACAGGTTTAAATGTTTGGAAGAGAGGAGTAAGTGCTTTAATAAAACTGTGTAGTCAATTTTCTCAATTTTAACTGTTTACTTATCATACATTTTTTCTTCAAAAAACACAAAAACAATCAACGTGGTAACACAATAAACAAATAGGTTAAGCACTATAACTATGACGAGGACAGAGCTGACTTATTAATATTTCTCTATTACATCAATGGCTCTAACAACTTTAGTAAGTAACAGTGCCTGAATTTGTTTTAACCCTCGCGTTAACATTAGCTAGCACTGGATGGCTATGGGGATCTGGTAGGCTTCGTCCTCTGCTTATATGTATGCAATGCAATTTTTCAAATGCTTCATCTAATGCCTCACCCATATTTGAAGCAACTAGCAACCTGTGCAAATAGTTGAGTCACTGCTCTCAACACATGAATCTCCATCTGGAGAATGCTTGTTGATTTGACTATATGCCTACCATGTGTAAGCTAGACCACAATAGCCACTTCCCGCTCATTACACGAAATACTGTTAATTCTCTCTGCCTCCACATTTTTCAGGACTACTGGTGCACCGCGATATAAGTTTTAGTCCAGGTGTCTGTAAAGCTAGTTGCAAGAATGAGTCAGAATGGCTGTAGACAGGAGCCCTGTAAAGGCAAAGTATTTATTGCCATTAGCTTACAAGTATCTGTTGCTCCACTATATTTTATTTAAGTTCAGTTTATTTGTAGTAAAGCAGCACCAATTATAGTTTGAAGTTTAAAAAAAAAAAAAGAAAATTGTATTGCATTAAGAACATACTTATTTTCTTGACAAGATAATGAAGGTTTGTTTGTAAGCGAACCGCATTGATTCCAATAAGCAGCATCAGTATTGATAAAATAAAGGTATCGATATCCTTCCATTCTCAGATATTTTACTAAATTTGAAACCTTTATGTACACAGCATTGACACCACCTTTCTCGACATTAACTATGGGCATTCAGGGAAAGAACACAAATTGGCAGGTCCTTTATTTCAAAACCCACTGAAGACAAAATGGCAAGGGAGCATCTCACCCACGCTGCCAGGGCCTTCCTTTACTTGTTATTCACTATCCTGCACAGATTGATTTGTTGAAAAATCTATAGTAAAGGCTTTGTTGTTCTCTCCCATCACCTGCGCAATCCCTTTCTGTTACTGCCTCCTCAGTAGCACTCTACCCACCATCTCCAATTTCGAAATTTTGTTCATTATTTAAAGTTGCAGTATGAACAGTCGTTTTGGTGAGAGTTTACAAAACTCTCATTGGTTTTATAACATTTTAGTCATTCTGGATTCAGTCAGTTGGGGGTCAAGCAGTATTGTGCTAAAGATGATTTTGTTGTTGCCTCAAAGCTAGTCGCTAACTTTGTCTGCAGTTTGGGGCTGCAAAGATAGCACACAATAAGTTTATCAGAGCTTTTTTTAAGGTGAGATGAACCAAAACCATAAATCTGCAAACATAAAACAAGTTGCTAAAAGAGCCATTCTGTAGAGCTGCAGATTTAATGCTGAAACACACTTCTCCGGGCTACACGTACGCAAACATTGGGTGTTTCTTTTATACTTGTATGTACAACTTATATAACATGTAAAAGAAAATTTGTTGTTGTTTTTAACCTGCCTCCTGATGGGAGTTGGATCAACCAATCAGCTTGCTTGGTGCGCAGTTCTTCACTATGCAGTGATTAGATTTGGGAGGTGTGCACATTGGCTCCTCTGAGATCCCTACAGTTAGCAGCAACATCTACGTTCACAGAGGTGTTTCGCATGTCTTCACAGAAGATAATTCCAGGTAATTCCAGCTTTGGGTGATTATTTTATTATATCTTTACAGAGTTATCTTGTACTTCATCCTCAAATAAATGCAAGCACAAATTATACATTCATTTTATTATTCTCATACAGGTAGAAGACGATTTGTGCTTCCAAATTATTGCGGTAGACTTTTTCTTACAAAAGCTACAAACTCAAACTTTCCATTGTATTTTCCTGTTTGGTTAGAAAGTGACCTTCAACATGACCAATTAGCTTAACTGCAAGATATGTTTCATATTGTATTTCAGTGGAGTAAGAACCTGAATATAGTGCACCCTTTTCTATTTATTCAACCAAGAGTCGATTTTAGATTGATTAAAAACATTAACAGTAGTAAGTATATTACATTGATATATACAATATATTGACATTTTCAGTAATAGCAAAAAAGATGCCTATGCACTTATATGCTAAATGCATGTAATTCAGAATGTTGATAGTTATTTTAAATAAATACATTCAACACTGATCTTGTGAAGGCATTATCAGAGGTAGAGCATGGCCACAGGGAGAGGAGAGAGGGGACAGAGTTCCACTGACTGGTAGGCAGTGCCCGCTGTGAAGCCACAAGCTTTCCAATGAATGTTACACAAGTTAGGGCTGCATAACACAAATGCTGAATTCGTCATTTTATTAGTCTTGAGGAATAGAAAGAATGTGAGCTGGTCTATGTAGAGTACCTTCTCTGCGTAACTGCAGACAAGACACATTTTTGTGGTGCTGTCAGCACCAGCCAGCAGTCTA